TCACAGATAATAAGAACTGGATGCAAGACAGCAATATGGCTATCAGAAAGATATAACTATCACAACTAGTTAACACCAATATTCATTATTGTCAAGTAGAATCCAGTCTAGCACTGCAGCCCCACCCTTATATAGCCCCACCCTTGTTTATCAGCAGTGCTAGTGCTAGTGTTATCAGCAGTGCTAGTTCCAACTTTTCAAGAGAGAGCCTGATATTCTCTCATTGTCTGCAAGGTCTGACAGATCTAGTTTAATTCATCCACTTATTAAGTTGCTGCTACAAAGTTTGTCGTTCCTTCACACGTACTACAGCAATGGTTGGTCTTTCTCAGTGGAGAGCTGCCATTGGTCTTTGGCACTGTCGTTTATGTAGCACTAGTCACCAAACAGGGTCACTAAAGCCATGTAGCCATCAGTCTGGTGTACCCGACCCTCCAGATGATGATTGTCACTGGATGAGTAACAAAACTGCTGCGTTTAGTACTAATAGTGTGAATTGGGCGTGGCTGGTTACTGCTCTTGGATTGTCTTGTTTTCTTATTGTATTTTTATTATTTCAGTTGATCCTTCTCCTATCAGGAGATGTGGAACTGAATCCTGGTCCTATCACTATTGAACAAGGTAAGTATGCACTGCACTGTAGATATGATTGATTATTTTGTTAATAGTTTGTAAGCTGATTGAGGAGTCCCTCCGTACGCATTCTGATGAATTAGAGAAAGCATCAAATTACTACATGAAAGAAGCGATTGCTCAGATCTTTGCCATTAGCTTAATATCTCAAGCAGTTCCATTAACATTCAATGGCATTGTTGATGAGCTAATGGCTGACCTGTATTCAATACAAGATGTATCACAGTTGATGGACCATTATGAGTTATTTCTTGGTTGTATTTTATCTCAAGGTGGAGCCTGTGAAGGTGTCCATAGTCAATTAGCAGCAGAATGGTTCAGTATTAAACTTCAATTAGAAGAAGGTAAATATATTATGTGAATTTATTTTATTGATTTTACATCTGATGCATGCAGTGTCTGTAGACTCTTCACATGAAGTTGTTTCCTCTGATACCAATAAAATTCAAGCCGAGAGCAATAGAACAATGCCAGAGCAACATCCTTTGTCAATTTCATTGCAAAAAAAAATTTCCCAGCCAGAGCCTATGTCTCCTCATAGCAATGAAACTGGTTCATCAATAGAAAGAGGTAAAAAATGAATGTATGTTACAAATTAACTCTATAGTAAATAAAATAGAGTATGACGCATTAAAGAAGAATTTTGCGAATATCTGTATCACATTAGCTGGAAATGTTGAAGTCATATCTCAATTGAATGATTCTCTTTTTTCACTTGAATGTATTCCTCAAGCAGTACATATTGCAGTTCAGAATACTTGCCTTTCTCCTTATGACAGAGCTAACAAATTAGTTTCTTCATTACTATCAACACTTAAAACTCATTCTAATCCTAGTGATATATTTTTTTCTTTCATTAATTCACTAAATATAATTGGACTAACTGGAATTTCTGAAATGCTATCAAAAAAACACAGTAAATACATGCCTTTTCATCATGTACAATTTTAAGTCAATTTTGTTTAGCTGTTCCTCTATTAATACAACTACATTCTGGTGCACGTGAAGTGACAAGTGAAAAATTTAAAGGTAAAAATATTACTATGAATATTAATTTTTTATCAGATTCAATGAAAGGTCGAAATGAGGTCACTGTAAAAATGAGTTCTGAAAATGAAGTGCTAAAAAATGTTCAAAATCTGAAGAGAGAGTTTGCTACTTTGGTAACAAATATCAGATCGATCCTAGATGAATCTACTAGCACTAAAGAAATAAAAACTATGTGCAGATATGTTGAAGAATATCTTGGTATAACTGGTCTATCTGAAATAACAACCATTGATCATCTTTTCAATGAGATAAAGCAGTACTACTCATTTCTTAACTGCAACTTGGTTCGTGAAATAGCTGTAATGTTTTTGCCCTCTAAATGTGACATACAAATGAAGTTAACTCATTACATGCAAAAATTGACCACATTTGAAGAATCATCTTCTCTTCAACATATCATAGATATTATAGAAGAAACAATTGATCCTACTCATGACATGACCAATGCAGTTTGTGAAGTTGTATTTAAACTTGATAGACGGTGGGGAAGAGTATCACTAGAAAGCTTTAAGGAAGTTATCCATCATATCTTTGAGGATAATATTAGAGTGCTGAGTCACATTCGTATTGAAAAAGGATCAATATGCATCAAATATTCAGCACCGATTGCTCAATCTGAAGTACTCATTAAAAAGGCATCATCACAAATTAATTTTATGCAACAAATTGGCATAATTGAAATGAGTGTTGGTGATCACTTTGTGCTAAAATCATTTGATGAAATCATTTTTGAAAAATTTTTCCTTGATGCTGCTGAATCAGCTTCTCTCATGCAATTGGAGCTACTTTTACAGTTGAGAATTGACATTGATCATAGAAATGAAACCGGAATGACAGCTCTTATGGCTGCCAGTGACAACTGTCATCACCAGGTTGTGGAACTGTTACTTAAAAAAGGTGCTGATGTTAACATTCAAAACAATAATGGATTGACTGCTCCGATGATTGCCAGTGAAAATGGTTGTCACCAGGTTGTGGAACTGTTATTAAAAGTGGAAGGTGCTGATATTAACATTCAAAACAATAATGGATGGACCGCTCTAATGGTTGCCAGTGACAATGGTCATCACCAGGTTGTGGAACTGTTACTTAAAGAAGGTGCTGATGTTAACATTCAAAACAATAATGGATGGACTCCTCTAATGGCTGCCAGTGACAATGGTTATCACCAGATTGTGGAACTATTACTTAAAAAAGGTGCTGTTGTTTACATTAAAAATAAAAATGGATGGGCTGCTCTTTTGACTGCCAGTGACAATGGTCATCACCAGGTTGTGGAACTGTTACTTAATAAAGGTGCTGATGTTAACATTCAAAACAATAATGGATGGACTCCTCTAATGGCTGCCAGTGACAATGGTTATCACCAGATTGTGGAACTGTTACTTAAAGAAGGTGCCGATGTTAACATTCAAAACAATAATGGATGGACTGCTCTAATGACTGCCAGCGACAATGGTTATCACCAGATTGTGGAACTGTTACTTAAAGAAGGTGCTGATGTTAACATTCAAGATAATGATGGATGGACTGCTCTAATGATTGCCAGTGCTAAAGGTCATCACCAGGTTGTGGAACTGTTACTTAAAGAAGGTGCTGATGTTAACATTCAAAACAATAATGGATTGACTGCTCCGATGATTGCCAGTGAAAATGGTTGTCACCAGGTTGTGGAACTGTTATTAAAAGTGGAAGGTGCTGATGTTAACATTCAAAACAATAATGGATGGACCGCTCTAATGGTTGCCAGTGACAATGGTCATCACCAGGTTGTGGAACTGTTACTTAAAGAAGGTGCTGATGTTAACATTCAAAACAATAATGGATGGACTCCTCTA